ATTAGCTTCTAGACTGAATTCGGTCTTATGTACGAAAATTCAAGTGATTTGGGCTGATATTGACCATTTAGTGCACAATTAACCTGAAATCGGATGAAACATATATATGGTTGCTATATCTATATCTGAACCGATTTTCACTAAATTTGATATACTTGCTTCTAGGCTGAATTTGGTCCGATGTACTAAAATTCAGTCCATTTGGGCTGATATTGGCCATTTGGTGCACAATTAACCCGAAATCGGATGAAGATATATATGGGAGCTATATCCAAATCTGAACCGATTTCGATAAAATTACAAACAGCTATTTCTGGGCTCTATCTTATATCTGGTACCAAATATCATTCTTGTGCAGTGCATATTACGAATGTGAGAGGCTTAAACACCAAATCGGATATGGGAGCTATAGCTGTTTCTGAACCGATTTTCTCCAAATTTGCTGTATTTGCTTTAAGGCTAATCTCGGTCACATGTGCCAAAATTCGGACCATTTGGGCTGATATTGGCCATTTGGTGGTCAATTAACCCGAAATCGGATGAAGATATATATGGGAGCTATATCCAAATCTGAACCGATTTCGATAAAATTTAAAACTGCTATTTCTGTAACCCTTACCACTATGTGGTGTAGGGTATAAAAACAATAAACCTAAACACGGGGCATCCATGGAATCTTAATTCCAGAATTTCAAAAAATGTAGAAAGGGAGAGCACTTGCCCCCTCTAATTGGGTTACTTTGCCATGTAAACTTTCAAAACGCCAACACACGTTTTTATACCCTCCACCATACTATGGAGGGTATATAAACTTTGTCATTTCGTTTGTAACTCCTCGAAATACTCATGTCAGACCCAACAAAGTATATATATTCTTGAGCAGAGTAAAATTCTATGTCGATTTAGCGATGTCCGTCTGTCTAACTGTGTGACTGTCTGTTTGTCTGTCTGTCTGTCTGTTGTAATTACGCTATCTTTCGAACAAATTGAGATAGAAGGCTAAAATTTTGCAAACATGTTTATTTTGCCAGTAGGCAGGTTATGTTCGCAAATGGGCCATGTAGGTCTCATTTTCATATAGCCCCCATGTAACGGTACCCCCCGATATTCGATATTTTGATTATTTTAGCCACATTATTCACCGGAATTGCTTAAAATTTGGTATTTGAAGTTTCAAAGGGATACTACAGCCTAAGACAGAAAATTATCTGTGCAGGTCCAGGTCTTTGTATTGCCCCCATATAACGGTACCTTCCGATATTCGGTATTTTGAGGATTATAGCGACATTATTCGGAATTGTTTCAAATTTGGTATTTGAAGATTCAAAGGGACACTACAGCCTAAGACAGAAAATTGTCTGTGCGGGTCCAGGTCTTTGTATTGCCCCCATATAACGTTACCTTCCGATATTCGGTATTTTGATGATTTTAGCGAAATTATATACCGGAATTGTTTAAAATTTGGCATTTGAAGTTTCAAAGGGACACTACAGCCTAAGACAGAAAATTGTCTATGCAGGTCCAGGTCTTAGTATAGGCCCCATATATCAGTACCTCCCTATATTCGGTATTTTGAGGATTGTAGGTTCAATACTCATCGAAATTGTTTGAGATGTCGTATTTGAAGTTCGTAATGGTTGCTACAGTCTGTGACAGAAAATTGTCTATGTAAGTCCAGGTCTTCGTATAGCTCCGATGTAACGGTACCTCCCTATATTCGATATTTTGATGATTTTAGCTACATTATTCACCGTTTATTTCAAGTTTCAAATTTGAATAATTATGACAACAATGCCTATGAAGGTCCACGTCGTATAGACCCCAATATAACGGATATATTCGGTTTTTTTAAAGATTTTAACAGAATTTTTAACGGATTTTATTTTTTGAAAATTTTCAAATTCGTTCCAAATAGTGGAGGGTATTCAAAGTTCGGCACGGCCGAACTTACTGCTTTTGAACTTGTTTCTATTTTGATACCCCCACACATGGTATGGAAGGTATACTAACTTTGTCGTTTCGTTTGTAACTCCTCTAAAAACCCACGCTATATTCTTTGATTCTTTGATGATTCTGTAATCAAAGTAACTTTTGAACAAATTTAGATAGAAGGTACCTCCCGATATTCGGTATTCTAATGATTTTAGCCACATTTTCTCAGGAAATTGTTTAAAATTCGGTCTTCAGACCTGCTGTGGTAGATCATTCCCTATACAAATTTCCCGTAGCCCCCATTTTTTGCGATTTTAGCCACATTTCGGGGGGTACCATTTAAAATTCTGCAGTTTGTAATGGATTTTGCCTTCTGTCATAGAAAATTGTTGGAATAAGTTCCACATTCAATTTTTCTGGCCAACCAACATATGCAAATTCCTAGAAACCAACAGTGACACCCATATCAAATTTCGGATTTCAACTATATTCCTCTAACCAATACTAATATTGGTACTCTTAATTTCTTTTTGTACAGTTTAAAGTACGCCTTTTCAAAATAATCTCTCACTACCAACAGTGACCTCAATATCTATAAAACTTTCGGAGTTCAGCTCTATCCCTTCGCCCAATACCACATTTATTACCATTTAGTACTTTTCGAACAATTTTAGTACAAATTTCCAATACCACCACCATATCTTAACAGCAGACACCATCAGTGATAACTATAACAAATTTCAGGACTTGAGCTCTACCACCCAATACCAAATATAGTACCATTCAGTACTTATCGTACAATTATAATACACATTTTCAAATCCCCCTCAATATGTCCAGGCTATACATGAATAGCGACCCTGAAACCAAATTTCAGATTTCAAACACCAAATATAGTACTATTTAGAACTTTTTGTGCACTTGCATAAAAGTACATATTCCCAAAAATAAGTCCAAATTTCAGGACTCCAGCTCTATAGATAATCAAATCCAAATTGTACCAAAATTTGGTACCATTTAGTAATTTTAAGTACGAATTTCCAACGCTTTCTTCATACCCCAATCCTACATTCCGATAGTAATCTTATTTCCAAATTTCAGAATTCCTGCTCTATCGATACACCACAATTCCAATTTATACCATTTAGTACACATGAGTACAAATTTCCACAACAACCTGCATTGTACAATCCAATAAAGACCTTCTTTCCAAATTTCAGCATATTTCAATATCGGTACCTCCCGATATTCGGTATTTTGATGATTTATGCCACATTTTTTCACGGAATTGTCTGAAAATTGGTATTTGTGGGTCATAACGGGTCCCTGTACGTGTTGCAAAACATTGCATGTATAGGTCCACGTTTTGGTATAGCCCCCATATAATGGTACCTCCCGATATTCGATATTTTGATTATTTTTGCCACATTTTTTTAACGGATTTGTCTAAAAATTGGTATTTGTTGGTCATAATAGGTTCCAGCTCCGGTAGCGAAACATTGCATGTATGGGTCCATGATTTGGTATAGCCCCCATATAACGGTACCTCCCGATATTCGGTATTTTGATGGTTTTTGCCACATTTTTTCACTAATTTGTCTAAAAATTGGTATTTGTGGGTCATATTGGGTCCTAGTTCGTGTGGCGAAACATTGTATGTATAGATCCACGTTTTGGTATAGCCCCCATATAACGGTACCTCCCGATATTCGGTAATTTGATGATTTTTGCCACATTTTTTTTCACGGATTTGTCTGAAAATTGGTATTTGTAGGTCATAATGGGTTCTAGCTCCGTTGGCAAAACCTTGCATGTGTAGGTCCACGATTTGGTATAGCCCCCATATAACGGTACCTCCCGATATTCGGCATTTTAATGGTTTTTGCCACATTTCTTCTAATGCTTCCTTTACCCTAAGGTGGTGGGTATTAAAAGTTTGGCCCGGCCGAACTTAATGTTGTTTTTACTTGTTTAAAATAAAGGCTTTCCACCTGTAGGAGGATTATAGAAACACTTCTAAGTACAGGGTCTTGACGTGAAGTCATCTCTCTCTCCATAGAGAGTCAACTGTCTAATGAAGGCTTAAAGAAGGCAATCTTTCTTTAGAAAATCTGAACTAGACATTATCTATAGAAGGATAGACATTATCTAAGGAAGATATTCTTCCCACTCAACCGTCATCAGATATATGTCTCTTCTATTTAAAAAAAAAAGTAAAAAACCTGTAAGTTCGGCCGGCCGAACTTTGAATACCCTTCACCATTTGAAAGGAATTTGGCAATTTTCAAGAAAAAATTAAAAAAATCCGTTAAAATCTTAAAACTACCGAATGTAGCCGTTATATTGGGATCTATACGACGACATGGAGCTGCATAGGCAAGTTTTGTCATAAGACATTACAATATTCAAATGCGAAACAAATCGGTGAATAATGTAGCTAAAATCATCAAAATACCGAATATAGGGAGGTACCATTATATGGGGGCTATACCAAAACGTGGACCTGCACAGACAATTTCTTGTCATAGGCTGTGGTATCCATTACGAACTTTAAATACCAAATTTGAAACATTTCCGGTGAATGATGTCGCCTAAATCACCAAAATACCGAAAATAGGGAGAAACCATTATATGAGGGCTATACCAAAACGTGGACCTACATGGCCCATTTTCAATACCAAAAGTCCTGCAGACATAATATACATTTGAGTAAAATTTTATCAACCTATTTCATTTCGTTCGGAAGCTACAGTGATTTACACAGATGTACAGACGGACGGACATCGCTAAATCGACATAGAATTTTAATGCTGATCAAGAATATATATATATATATATATATACTTTGTGGGGTCTAAAATGTATATTTCGAGGTATTACAAACAGAATGACAAACTTAATATACCCTCCATACTATGGTAGAGGACTTTTTAACCCAAATTGGCCCATAGATTAAAAGTATGAGACACATTTTTATGACCTTGTCATCCATCTAACACTTCCCATGAAAATTATTTTTATTTTTTTTTAATTTTTCCCTTTTTTCTCATAATAAAACAAATTAAAAATTTTATTTTTTTTAAGAAATATTTTTTCGATTTTTTGTATTTCTTTTATTTAAATATTAAAACATAATTATTAAAAATAATAATAATAATAAAAATAAAAAATAATACAAAATTAAAAATTATAAAATAAAATTATATAAACTAAACACAGAAAAAAAAAACTAAGGAGAATTGTACAAATGTGTGTGGGTGTGGGTTGAGTAAATGTGTGTGTGTGGGTAATGTGGGGAGTGTGTGTAGGGGGGCGATTTGTGCAAAAAATTTCGCACAAATAATTAAAATAATAAAATAAAAATAAGTATTTTACAATTATGGTTAAATAAAAATTCATTATTTTTTTATTAACATCAACGTCTTCAGGGGGAGAGAAAAAAAAAACATAATTTATAATTATTACAAAAAAAATGTGTGCATATATAAAGTTCGGGTGGTGGTGTTGGCGGGTGGTAGAAGGAAATTTTTTAATACAGGTTTTGTGGCTAGGTGATTTAAATTAGCTTCTTTTGATGTGGGGATTGTTCTTTTTTTTTGTATAAATAAAAAAATATACATTTTATTTCTTTAAAAAAATTACATTTGTTTTGTAAAATAAAAGAAATGTTATTTTATTATGTTTTTTTAAGAAAAAAAAGAAATCTTGTATTATTTCGTTAAATTATATTTTTAAAATATAATTATGAAATAATGTTTTTTTTTTAAGATGATTTTTTGTTTTTTTTTTTGGAAAATTTTAACAACAATAATAATAATAATTATGTTTTTTTTAATATATATATAAATATGTATGCATGTATAAACTATGTATATATAGAAAATGTTGATATGATTTTTCATGTGATATATAAAGGAATTATGTGTGTATGTGTGTGTGGTGAATATGTATGCATGTGAGATGGGTGTGTGGATTAGTAAAAAAACACAAAATAATATATATGTATGTATTCTTTCTTGGTCGATTATTGAAGTTCTGGTAATTTTTTTCTCAGTGGGGAGTGGGGGCAGGGGGAAGTTCGGGCGCATCGGGGCCACACAGGGCATTAAGTAAAATATTATTTTTGTTTTTGTTCATTAAATAATAATATGTAGGTATGTATGTATGCATGTATGCTTTAATTATGTATGTAGTATGTATAACTCTTAAGCCTTACAAACTAAAGTTGCCATTCAGTCAATCAGTCGAAACTTTTGGGATGTGTTTCTATAAATTATTTTTTTTTGTTTGTTTTGCATCATAGATTTTTTTTTTCACTCCGAAAAAAATATTATTTTTTCCTACATCTTCTGTCTCCCTCTCCCGTTCTCATTAAGGAGTAATAAAATACAATTTTATTGGGAGCGAAAAAAATAATATTTTTTTCGTCGTTTTTTACAATTTTTATAAGTTTATCGTCTACTGCACTGGTAATTTTTTTCTTTAAGTGTATTCTCGTTTAAACTTGTATTTTTCTCTTATTTCTCTCTTCCTCTCTTCTTTTTTTATAATACAGTTAAGCTTTGTTCCCTTTTTTTCTAAACAACAAAAAAAATCTAATGCTTTTTTTCTCTCAGTGTGGGTACTAGGCGAAAAATATTGACATTTCTCTCAGTGTAGTTTGCTGGGTTGTTGGACGAAACGAAAAGAGCCCAGAAGAGAACCGCAGGTTTGCTTTCAGTGAGTTCACAGCACTCACTCACTCTCTGTCTCTGTCTCTCTTTTTCTCTTTCGGGTGTTCTCTTTTTCTGTGGATATTGTCTCTGCATTTCTAGAATTTTGTTGGTTTTGTTTTGTTTTGCTTTTGTTTTGTTGTTGCTATTGCTAGTTATTACATCCTCTCGTCGTTTGTTTACTCTCAGCCTCTCTCTAAATGTGTTTCCAAAAAAAGAGCTTTTTTCTTTCATTTGAAATTTATGCGGGGGAGCGGGAGAGTTTGGCAATTCAGCTGCTGCCAACAACACCTTGGCGTCGGCCCTGCTGTTGCTGCTGCTGTTGTTCGGTTCTTCTGTGATGTCTTCGTGGCCTTTTGCACTGGGCTGAGCAGCACTCATCGAGGGGGGCTGGCTCAGAGCCAGGCTTTTCGAAAGGCTTGCGTTTGGCCGAGACCCTAGTTTGCTGGCAGGTGGAACGGGAGCAGCGCTTGCGATCGCAATTTACTTTGGAATCCTAAAACAAATAACAATAAAAAATTAATATCTCCGGCCAATCTCAAAATCTCTGTTCGTTTTTCAACTTACCTTGCATCGGCATTTAATGCATTTCTGCTCCCCATGGGAGGCCAAAACCGGATGCCATTCCTGGCCATTTTCATAGACCTTGTTGACCACCTTACAGCCACCCTGGGAAAGAATCTCTTCACTGCTGCGCACATTTGCCTTCAAGGGGGCCTGATCTTGCAGGACATTGGGGTTTGAGGGTCCCATTTTGTCACCAGCTCCCGAGCTAATTTTTCCCTGGGGACACACCTTACAGCAGGCCTTTTTGTCCGGGCGATAGGCTTCCTTTTCCTTACACTTCAAGGGAGGGCACACCGTACGAGGACATCTTATCTCCAAGGTCAGGGCATCACAGGTACAGGTGGTACAGGTATCAAAGCCATTAGGTGGCAAAAATGGATGCCAAATGGCACCGGCCACATGGAACTGATCACCCAAACGGCATCCGCGTTTCTGTTGTTGTTCATCGCCGCCGCCTAGGATTTCCTTGTTGTTGTTCACATTCTGTGGCACACACATGGCACAGCACTCACCCTCGGCCTGTACCAATTCTTCGTTCACCTTACAGTGCACCACGGGACACTTGATGGGCTCACAGGTAGCATGACCTCGCTGGCAGGCACACATCTGGCAAGTGTCCTCCGTGCTGCGCCATTGTTCCGTTTCATCATAGAAACGTCCCGAATGGTAACATTTTGTATCGGCTGTCATTAGCAGATCATCATTGCGATCGCCGGGCAGGAAAACATTGGGCACATTGTTGTCCGTGTAGATGGGGAAGCAGTGGGCCGGCACCTTGGTCGACTTCAATTTGCCGCGCAGCAGCAATTCATTTTTCTCCTTGGAATGAACCTCCAAATAGCAAACACTGGACTCCAATTTCACCAGCTCATTGGAGGGCATGCTAAGGAAAAAGCCTTCCATGTAGGAGCCGGAGAATTCCTCCAAAAGTTTGCGGGTCACTGGGGCACCAATGGCTTCAATGGGTTTCTCTTCCAAATAGATTTGCAAATCCTGGGGATGGGATTGGAAACCGCTCAGGGTCAGTTCATAATGGAGGTTACATTCATTGTCAATGGATAGCCAAGCCATGCCCATGGCATGATGAGGTGCCGAGACAGAGTGTTCGGAGCGTTTCAGCAAAATGGGTTCAGCTGAGTCACGGGCATCAGCCACGGGCCTGGGTACCAAACGACCTCTAATCAAACTGGTTTCATGTTCCACAGCAATGTTGACACCCAAATCTCCAGCATAGAGAGATTCCACTACCTTGGGTCCCAGCTTGTCCACCGTGCCAATGGCCTGATTGAAATTGAAGCTGGGTGTCAAATCCTGTAGCACAGCCTTGCGTTTACCCACATCCTCAATGAGACTGATTTCAGGATGATCTCTGGCATTGACCTGATCCGTTTCAATGTTATAGGCCAGGGAGCCATCGGTGTTGAGGAACACCCAAGCCAAGCCACTGCTGTTGGTTTTGATCTCAGAGTTATGGGGAGCCAGTAGAGTTTGGAAAATCTCACAGGTGGTGCGGGTGACAATGTGGCCCTGGATCCTCAAATTGGGATTCTTTTTCGATTCCACGGTAAGCAAAAGTTTGCCACGTGACATAAGGCGTAGATTTTGTATGGAAATGGGGGAGGAGATTTCCAGGACATTGACCTCGGATGAGGGTTTGCGTACTTTTTGGATTTCATCTAAGACCACCTCACGACGATCGGGCGATTCAATGCGAATGTTGACGGGAGCATCCAGATAATCATCGGGAGCAAAAACGCCATTGAACACCAAGGTCAAGTGCATGGACGAAGCAGCCCCACTGCTGGTCGAAACAATGGCAGTACCTCCGGAACCGGAAAGGATATCAGATTTAGAGCCCGGTGCTGGTTCCATGAGGGCACTAAACAATTCCGATTGCAAAGCGGTGTATTTGCCAATTTTACCAGCCAAGGCCAATTCAGTTTGGAATTTATTACCACCCCAGAGTAGGACAACATGGAGACGCTCATCGCGCAGCAGACGTTTGTAGTCACGTGGAACCCTACGCCAAACACCACAAATTTTGCCTGTGACATTTTGATAAATCGATTGGGGTCCGGCGGGCAATTGCAGCTGATGTTCCTCCAAAATGGTGCCGGCATCATCTACAAATTGTATGGCCCTTGGGCGATTCACCTTCGACGAGGTATAGAAGGAGTAATACAAATTCTTTTTGTGGAACATAAAACGTCCGGTGGCCACAATGTTATGGGGATTATGGGTGCTGTACATGGACTTCATTTCTTCACCCTTCAGGAAGTGCGAGGTACGACTCGTTAGGAGAGCAGCGAAATCTAAAGAGAAATTAAAAGAGAGAGGGGAATATTAGAAAAAGGGTTCCGCAATGGCAGAAGATGTTAGGAAATCTCTCATTCTCTCTGCACAGAAAAGAGATGGCATACTTACGTTTCATATTGCGCTCCTCTTCTTCCATTGGTGCCGGTACATCTAAGGCCATGGTGTCTAAAAATAAGAAGAAAAAAGAAAATGGTTTGAAATTAGAAAAATGTTGGCCATTATTTGGAAAATATTACAGAGCCATAAAAATGTCAACACCACTGCGTCTTGAATGAATCTGCTTTGGGTTTTTTTTGGTCATTGTGGCCCAAACCCCTGGGACAAATAACAGGAAATTACCTTGCTAGAAATATGATGTTCCCTCCTAGGGAGTTATTGTTTAACCAAAAAAAGAAGAGAAGAAGATGTGGTACCTTGGGTTTTTAACCTTGCCACGATCGCACACACACACACCGAAACTAGGTGCGGTACTGCCTACCAAGCCAGGCAACTGTAGAATGAACGTGTGAATAGAGGAGGACCCTACAACACTCGCACACACACACACATCCACTGTGTGTTTGACATAAATACCCCTAACAAGTTACCGCCTCTTGGCAACACCCTGCTGCTGCCGCCGCTGCTGCTGCCGATACTACACGTGATTTCTCGAAAATAAAATATCCGTAAAACTGCCACATAAAAGGTGAGCCAGTAACTAAGAATGTTACGGCCGGTAAATGATGAAAACAAGCCAACAACGACAACAACAATAACACAATTTTTTTTTTTAATTCTTGGAAACCATTGTTGCTTGTTCTCGGCTCAATGAAAAATGGTTGATGATGGGTTGGAATAAACGAACCAACATGGATTTTGTTTTTGTACGATCAGGTTGTTGTACCCGAATTCCATGCCATCATAATGAGGAACATAACAATGGCCATGTTAAACAATAAAATTGGAAATTTTATGGAAAATCGATTTAGAAAAACAAAGTAGACGGATAGGGGATTTCATGTTTCACAAAAGGTGATTGGTCGATTGGTTGGCTGGTTGGTTGGTTAAATCAAAGAATAAAAAAAAGAATCCATTTTTTGATGGGGGTATTAATAGAAAGGTGCTGAAATAAATTAAGCCGGATTTCCGGCCTCGACATCAAAAGAAATTCCCAGAACAATTCTCAAAGAGATTTACATAAAAAAAGTGGTTCGATTTCCAGGGAAATTTTTTGGGAATCTAAGAAGTTCTTCAAGTGGAGACTTGGAAAAATCTTGAATTTCACAAAAAAACATGTTTTTTATGCTTAAATATTAAATTTTAGTGGGAAAAATGGGAAATTTGAAAACTCTCCAAAAGTGGAGAGATTTGGAAAAATCATAAAAACGGGGTTTTTCGATGTAAAAAATATTAAAGGATCACCAAACTGAAGTTCCAAGAACCATTCTCAAAGAGATTTATATAAAAAAGTCGTTCAATTTCTAGGGATTGTTTTTTTTGTGTGAATTTTCTTAAAGTGGAGACTTGGAAAAATCAAGAATTTTTTGAGGAAACATGTTTTTAATGCTTAAATAATAGATTTTAGTGGAAAAAATTCAAAATTTGAAAAGTCTCCAAAAGTGGAGAGATTTGAAGAAATCATAAAATCGGGGTTTTTCGATGAAAAATAAAAAAACTTTGTAAAGAGAGTTATAAAATTGTTGTCATGGAACATTTTTTTTTTTTAATGAAACTTTGATATATATATTTTTTAAATGTCTCCAAAAACGAAAAAAAATTTAAAATTTCAAAAAAATTATAAAATTTTTTTTTAATTTTTTCAATTCTGATTTTCTCAGAAATTTTTATATTATAAAAATTTCGGGCTTTTGAGTTACATTTCCCCACATTGTATTCCCTTTGCTTTAGAAATCTTCAAAATTTCATTACGAAATATGGATTTTTGAAACTCTACACTGCTATAGATTCCCCAAATGACAATCAAATTGCAAAATTCCTTCCTTTCTTGACTATTTCAATGATTTTTTCGCAAAATATTGCAATTTTAAAAAGTCTCCAAAAAGTGGAGAGTTTTCGAAAAACCTCAAATATATAGTTTTAGGCGTTTTTAATTCATCTTAACTTGTTTCTATTGTTGTAAAATTTAAATTTAACATTTTAAAAAGTCTCCAAGGATGGAATTTCCAGGAAAATCAAGAAAATTCTATGGATTTAATGTTTTTGAGGAATTTTCTTAAATTATAAAATTAAGTTTTTCCCATTTGAGAATTTTTCTTATTTTTTTTAAATTATTTTATGGCAAAATATGGCAATTTTGAAAAGTCTCCAACAAATTTTTGGTACAAATTGGAAAATCAAGGAAATTCTATGGATTTATGGTTTTTGAGGAATTTTCTTAAATTAAAAAAAAGTTATTCTCAGAGAGAAATTTTCTAATTTTTTTTTTAAATATTTTATGGCAAAAATGGCTATTTTGAAAATTCTCCAACCAAGTTTTGGTACAAATTGTGAATTTTCAGAACTCTACACTGCTATAGATCCCCAAAATGTTAAAGTAGTTGAGAATTTCCTTTATTTATATATGTTTTTAATCATTTTATTGCAAAATATGTTAATTTTGAAAACTCTCCAAAAAGTGGAGACTTTTCGAAAAACGTCAAAAATGCATTTTTCATGCCTTTCCATTACTTTTAAACGAGTATTTATGTTTTTAAAATTAAATTCAATTCTCTCAAGAAGTCTCCAATGGGGAAAATTTAAAGAAAATCACCAAAAAATGTCTGGATTTCAAATCTCAGGAATTTTTCTTTTAATTATAAAATTGTGCTTTTTTTGTTCGATGTGTGTTTTTGTTTTCTCTATTTCTAATATCTAAACATTTGCTAATATTCAATCATTTGCAATGTGTCATGCCCATAACGATGTTGATGATAATGATCATTATTTTGATGTTGAAAAGCAAAAAAAAAAGAAAAAACATTGTCTACTCATAATGAACTGCTAAATTCCTTTGCTAATCGTTGAGTCGTTTTGTGTTTTCTTTTTTTGTTTATTTTTTTCATTTTTTTTCATTAAGAGTCTTAAATGGATTAAATTGTTGCAAGAGGCAGGGGGAGGTAGGCTGGCGGGTTGTCCTGTTGTCAAGAAATATTTCAAATATTTTAATATCTTAGTTAGCCACCCTTCTCCTCCTTTCCCCCCGCCAGCTAGAATTGCTAAAGTAATCAATATGATCTACATAAACTGAGTATTTAAGCCAGGCAATTCCAATGAATTGTGTGTAAGGAGAGAGAGAGAGGGGTAGAACATAAGGTTATTGGCCTGCCTGCCACCTTCTTCCTCCATGGCCTATCATTTGCCAAGGAAAACCTATAATTCCATACCAAAAAAAAAAGGAAAAAAATTCCTTGTCCATAAAGGAAATTCATATTGGCTTTTCACTTTTACTGACTAGTAGCAAGAGCTGAGTTATGCAGTTGGAGATCATGGTGGCAGTTTTTTGCTTCAAAAAAAAAAAGCTAACAACAATGCATTTTTATGCTGCAAGTTGCAAGTTTTGTTATGGGCAATAGCGACAATGACGATGATGACGACGTTGCTGTGGCCGGCCATTGATGGAGGTGCTTAGCTATTTTATCAACATGAACTTGTTTCCATAATAGTTCATGTTGTGGCCATAAAGCTCAGCAGCACTGGCATAATAAAAACAAGTTAAATCATAACCAAACTGCCTTAAAAATACGAAACCAAAAAAAAAAAAAAAAAAAAAACTGAAACGCTAACTCAACTGAATTGCAGTGCAGAGAAGTCAGTAGTGGCATATTAGTTGCCTAAGTCAAACTGGCAAAGCTATGCAACTCCACCACCACCACCAGCAGCGTGATGATGATGATCGTAAGCTAACTGGCTGCTGCTGCTGCTGGAACTCTCCACTGAATTGCATAGTTGTTAGTTGAAGTGAAGTTGACCAACTTTAGTTGGCGTTTTGTGGTCTTGTCTAAATATGACTCCAATGGAGCCAATGATGCATTCATAGTCTTGTTCGTGGCCAATTTCAGAAGAAGAAGAAAAAAATCAACAACAACAACAACATCAAAGACTTGTTGAGTTTGATTTTTATTTTTAAGCGTTTTGTTTTCATTCCTTTGCATTGGCCAAATTTGGTTTAGAAAAATATGCCATTTTCAGCCAAAAAAAGTCATTAGGTTTTTTTTTGCCTGGATGCCTAGCTCATAAAGCAGCAGAGGAAGATGAAAAGAGAGAAAAAAAACAATTTGCTCTGGCCTACAGAATTCCTGAAATTATTGTCAACAACATATTTAAGGCTCAACACAAATCATGCCATGCCAGGGGGGAGATATGAAGAAGTGCCCCCATCATGGCTCATCATTGTCATCATTAGCATTAAAATTAACACAGCAGCGCCCGGTTCGGCTGGGCTCCATGGTAGGTAGGTAAGATGAGTTCTTTATTTTTATTGTAATTTATGTCAATGCCATTCTAAACCTTGGGCTTAATTATGAGTCCAAACAAAAGGGTCCTACCCAGCGAATGCCACAAATACTGAACTAAACAAGAATTCGAAATAATTTATCACCCCTTTTTTCGGTCTGCTGGCCTGGTCCATCCATAATGACATAACTCGAGCATTTTAACGCTTATTAAATTATCTCATTTTAAGGAATTTCATGAGGTCTAGCTGGATGGAAGGATTCCTTGGAAGGAGAATGTGCCGTATCATTAAAGATCTCATAATTTTTTTTCTCTCTGATTTTTTTCTTTTTGGGCCACAAGGGAGGCGGCTTGTTTTGGCTTGACAACAAAAACAGTAAGTCTGCTGCCGGTGGTGCTGACGAAGACATTGAGATGATGACGATGCTGCTGCTGTTGGCTGGCTGATGATCTCAATGATATGATGAAACAGCGGGAGGGTCAACATTGCAGTATGCTAAGGTAAGATACGGAATGATGCAAGGAAAATACAAAAACAAATTCCCAAACTCACACACAGACACACAAATACTGGTCGGACTTATCTTGAAGCAAGATCTGTATTTTATTGGCCTAAAATGTGTAGAGAACAAAATTTATAACATCAGCGAACGGTATGGGCCTGATAATACGGGCGACGCATACCAAAAATGGTTTGAGAGAGGAACAACAAAAAATGCAGCAAAAAAAAAAAAAAAAAACACTGAAATGACCAAAAAAAAACTGAATGGACTCTTGAAAAAAATTTACAATATTCAGGTCTCCAGTTCCAATGCTGTTGTTGTTGCTGCTGCTGTTTTTGATGTGGGTTGGCCGTTTTTTTTCGGGAATTTGAAATTTAATGACACCAAGTGCAAACGGTGACAATATTGTTTTTTTTTTCGTTGTTGTTTTCTTTCTCAGATAACGCCAGGATCAGACAAGAGGGGAGAGGGGGAGCGAACTTCAAATGACTCTCAAATCAAGATTATAATCTTAACGACAATGACCAGCCCAAAAGATTAAAACCAGGCCATGAAATATATTATGACGAAAAAAAATTAACAAGATCAAGAGCCAAGTAAGGAGTCATATCTTTGATCTTTGGGCCAAGTAAATAAAACGAAAAGTCAAGTACATAAATTACGGCCAAAAGAATGTGGAGAAATAAGAAAAAACCGAAAACGGGGCGTTTTCAATTTCACAGCAATCGAAGGGAATTTCCTGGGAAAAGGGAAGAGGGGGAGGGGGTCCTTACAAATTTTTAAATTCATTAATTAATTGGTAATATAAAATGCATTACAAAAGGAGAGGAGGGGAGGCGTAAATGGATGAAAAGTCTATGAAAAGACCTGGCAAAAACCCTAAAAATTCAAATTATCTATAGCGCACACCATATTTTAATAAAACTGGATACAATTTTCCAAGATCTGCCAAAAATCATTTGAAAATAAAAATAATTTTGAAAAGTCTGCAGAAGTGGAGACCTGCCCGAACCCTCAAAAAATGCAAATTATCTGCAACGAAATTCCGTATTTTAATGAAATTCCATATTGTCAGAAAATTCCGTAAAAAATAAGACATTTTCAAAATTTTTAAAATTCTACAATTTTTGGAGACTTTAAAAATATATATAAATTTCTGATTATTTAGGGCAATTTTACTCATTTTGGTGGTTTTTCGGCATTTTAATGGCCCAAAAAGCTCTTGAAATATAAAAATATGGTGTTTTTCCTTAGTCTACACTAGTGGAGAGTTTAAAAAACTCTCGAAAAATATTTAATTTTAATTGGAAATGGTTAGATTTTGATTGCAAACTATGAAATAAGCTTTTTTGGAAAGTCTCCAAAAAGTGGAGACTTTTCAAAATATCACAAAAAATGGATTTTGGAGATATATATTACCTCTAAATACATTTTTAATAAGATTTAATGCATTTCCACAAGTCTCCAAAAGTGTAGAGTTATGAAAAGCAGTCAAAATGCATGGAATTTGTTAAAAAAGTATTGATTAGGCTTTAAATACAATTTCTAAATAGAATTTCATTAAAATGTAATGCATTTTCCAAAGTCTCCAAAAGTGTAGAGTTGTGAAAAACAGTCAAAATGCATGGAATTTTTAGAAAAATATATGAATAATGCTTTCAATACAAATTCTAGATAGAATTTTATTAAGATTTAATGCATTTTCCCGAGTCTCCAAAAGTGTAGAGTTATAAAATTTTGAAACTCTCCAAAAAGTTTAGACTTTGCAAAAGTTTACAAAATCTAACTTTTAAGGTTATATTTAAGCTCTAAGTACTATTTAAATCATATTTAATGGATTTCCATGAGTCTCCAAATTTGGAGAGTTATTAAAATAATGAAATTCAAAAAAAAAATTATAGAAAAAACCTAATAATCACAAGCCTAATAATTAAATTAACAATTAAGAAATATGATTTGTTTGGCATTTCCTATGCAAATAGGCTATATTTGATAGTCTCCAGTAGTGGAGACTTTTTTCTTTTTGCTAAAATTGGAAAAATGCTTTTCTGAATTTTGCTATTATTACATTGTGTCTCAATCGAAGTCAGTCTAAAGTTTTTCTAATTTAAATAGTTGGATTTTGGGTTATTTTGAAACTCTCCAAAAATTGTAGACTTGGTGGAATTTCAAAAAAATTAAAATTTAAGGATATATATTGGTTCCCAATACTATTCAAGGCAATTTTAACGCTACATATTACCGCTGAATACTATTTAAGTGGAATTCAAGTCATTTCCCGAAGTCTCCAAATGTGAAGAGTTTTCAAAAAATTAAAATTTCCCACAAATTTTAGAAAAAAAAAAAATGATAATTAAGCCTAAAACACGTCACTGTTAGGCATTTTATGTCCATAGAGACTATATTGGAAAGTCTCCAAAGGCGGAGACTTTTTAAAAAGTGTTGTTTTTTTTTTGCTAAAATTGACTTAATTGTTTTTTAATTCATTTTCCTACGGCTGCTATCATGACTGTCTGTTCTCCTTAGACTAACTTTTTTTTTTTTAAATTGGTTTTTTGGTTGGCTTTTCTTGCTTCTATTTTTGTTAAGATGACGCCGTCATTATAGTATGTATGTTTGTATGTCTGTCTGTCGGTCTGGTCTGTTCCTTTTATAATGCTTATTATGTATGCTATTCATGCAGAAAATTACTTAAATCAAAATAAGGTTAATATTTGTTGTTGTTGCTGTTCGCTTGACTTCTACGTCTTGGCTTAGTTTGATTTGCTTCGGCTAGATAACTGAACATTCTTTTTGAATAATTTTTTTTTTTTCTAATTTTTTTTGGGTTGCTGTTGGATTTTTTGTTCTTTTTTTTTAGAAATATAATTAAAACAAAAATACCACAATTTTTTTTTGGTGTGGTGTTGGACACTCTTCAGTTTGTTGGTTTGGTTCAGTTCAGGCGATGTAGTCATACTTCTATGAGAGAAGAAAAAGAGCAACAAATGAAAAAAAAAACGAATCGGTGATCATCATAATGATTTGAGGATGATGAACGCTGGCTGGTTGGCTGGCTGGCGTTTGAGGTATTGCCGTATGGGTGGCGGTGGACATGGGGGCGGTAATTGTGTCTGCCTGAAGAAGATAATAATGATGATGATGATGCCGTCGTCGTCAATTGACGTGTTTGGTATCTGCTCTGCTGTGTGGCAAAAATACGCCAAAGATCTCTTGGTGTGTATAAATTTTCTAGTGCTGCTGCCGCTGTTTGGTTTTATTTCGCTTAAATGTTGTTGGTATCGGTATTTTTTCATTTTTGGACGACGACGACGAGGTCGATTTTGTTTTCTTTTTGGTTAACGCGTGTATATTTGGCTTTGATAGACATTTTTATATATTGGCGTCTTTTTTCTGCTGTTTTTCTAGGTTTATTTGCTTTCAATTTATTGACCAGAAGCTATGGGGCGACTATTTTCATTTCTTTGATTTTTTGTTTTAATAATAAAAAATTAACAAAAATTTATCAAAAAAAAAAAAAAAATGAACCCAGCAGATGTTGGAGAAATTAATTTAAAATTATGGCAAGGTGGATGCCAGACAACTAGAGCAACTGATTTTGGAAAAGTATTTTCAGAAATCATGTGGAAACTAAAAAGCTTTTCTCGGCCGTTTTTAAAAAAATATTTTTTTTAATTTTTTTTGCGCACATGAGACCATTCGGCCATATATTTTGTGTGTCATTGAGTGTTTTTTTTTCGCAAAAAATTAAATATAAATTTTATTTATATTTTTTTTTTTGGGGATTGTTTTTGGCCTCCCATACCTCGAGATCATAAAATGTGTTAAAATATGTTTATGGTTATCAGAAATGACAAAAATCTTTTATAAAATTTGCAAAATAATGTCTTAAATATATTAAAAAATATATCTAAGGCAGGATGGATGGCCAAACAACCAAACAGCCAGCCAGCTAGATAACCAACCAGCCAAGCGGAATCAATGTAGCCGTCAAAGTAATGGCTTGACATTACTCTCCCGTTTCACCTTCTTTTTCTCAGAGAAGTGTGGGGGCGTTAAGTGTAATTTTTTGAACAAAAAAAAAAATCTCTTTTCTTGTTTGGTCTTCCTCTTCTTGTCTGGTTAATCTATAACAGACAATTTATTTTGCCATGCCTGAAATATTTTATGATTTATGTATGGCGTTTTTTTTTTTTTTTTTTTTTTTTTTTTTTTTTTTTTTTTTTTTGTAGAACAAGTTATAAGTGGGATGGATGGATGGATGGTTGGAGACCATGCCAGACATTTAACAAAAAAGTGGCTATGAAAGATCTACGTCTTTAGATATGGCTAATGTCCATCACATAACAACAAAGTTGTTGGTGATGGTGGTGATTCATTCAAGAAAAGCATGATTTTTTTTAAGTTTCTGGCTTTGGAAAATAAATAAATAAATAAACAAATAAAAAAACTTACCATTTTTATCACCGGGACATGTTTTGCAACATTTACCGGGCAGCAAAATGGGATCATCGCACAAAGCCGGTGGGCATTCATTTTTTATGTTGCGACATTGGACACGAGCCACAATGCGGCGTTTTTTGGGAACCTAAAAAAGAAAAGAAAAATAAACAAAATATGATTTATTAACTTTAAATTAAAAAAAAAAAATATTTAAAAAAAATCGAAAAAAATTAAAAATAATTTTTTGGTCTTTTATAATAACAAAAACAAGGAATTTTTATTTATTTTTTTTTTCAAAAATCAATTAATTTTGAAAACTCTCCACAGATTTTAAGCCTAGATAATACCCTAAAAATTATTATTTTCATGTAAAACTAATTTTTTGTGAATATTTAACACCCAAAAATTCCAATTTTACGATTTTTCAAAAGTCTCCAAAAAGTGGAGACTTTTCCAAAAAACCTTAAAATCGTGATTTTTATAAAGAAGTAATGATTTTAAAATTAACCCGGCCTTAAAATAACAATTCTACACAATTTTAATAAGTCTCCAAAGGTGTAGATTTAAGGAAAATCCAACTTTTTTACATTTTTTTGAGAAATTTAAAATTTGAAATATAATTAACACATAAATTAAATGAAAACTCAAGAAAAAATTATTTATTTATATGGCAATTTGTTGCAAAAAATATATAATTTTTTTAAAAAAGAAAATTCTTACATCCTCTTGATATTTGATTTTCATTTTTTTTAAATATCGATTTCTTGGCATTTGCGTGCTAATCATTTTTTGATTAATGAAATGTTAAAAAGCACAGAAAACACGAAATGAAACGTATTTTTTATGGCCTCAAAGGTGTCCCATATTTTTATGGTTTTCTTTTTTCCTTCTGGCTCAACTTTTGCTGCTTGTTCGCATGTATGTTTTATGTCGCGCGATATCTTCTTCTAGTTATATTTTTTAATTGCCTCATAAATTATTTGTTTATTAATTAGAGAGTCTACAATAAATATAAATGGAAATTTTGTGTTAACCAGTAAAAAATTATAACATTTTTATTAAAAAAAAAAGAAATGATAAAAATAAGAATCCGTTTTTTTTGCGTATTTCTTGGGAATTAAAAAGAGAATTGGAATGCATTTTGTGAAATTTTTTTAATTCGATTTTTTTGGCACCTTACTGATGTTGGCGAATAAGGTAGGAGATGCATAAAAGACTTTATGGCATCAATTAAATAGAATTGTCTGCTATTTGATTGTGATTTATAATATGTGTATGTGTAAGTGTGTGTGTGTGTCAAATACATATATTTTCCACTGACGTATTATGTCCATTTTTTTTGTTTTTTTTTTTGGTGTCTGTTGTCTTTGAGCAGCCAGACAAAATAAAATTGATATTTATATATATTATTTTTTGATTTTTTTGTTCATTTTTTATGAATAGCAAAAGAATTTGCGTAATTTCATAACAGTCTAGAAGAGCACAACAACGACGGCAAGGCGAAAAAAAAGAATAATTTTTTTATGTCTCAATAAGTTATTAATCACTGAACAAACTAAGGCGACAAGTAGCGTACGCAAACCTAAGCTTCTTTTCAATTTTTTTTTTTTTTTTGCTTTTGAGCACATTCACATATATGAGAATTTGCCTGCTGTCATGTTTTTGTTTGGCAAAATAGATATTCCTTTCATGTACACAGGCAAAAAAAAAAGAGGCGAACAGCATAACCAACAATCAACATGTTCGTAATAAAAGACCTTTAAAATTGTCATTAATCATTTAAAGAATGGCACAACAAAAAAATAAAATAAAAACAAACATGACAAGAAGGCATGAAGAAAATTTTGCCACATAGATATTTTCCAGATTTTCAAAAGAAAAGCAAAAAAAAAAAAAAAAATAAATACTAAAAAGCACGTATTTCTTCAAATGTAGACTTCTTTAAAATCCCTAAAAATTTGATTTTTTGACTTCTTTGTATTTTATTTAGACCAATGTTGTTGTAAAATAACGTTTTTCATTAAAAAAATTTCGAAATTGTGAATTTTGGAAAACTCTCCACTAGTGTAGACTTGCGAAATCTGACATATTTTTACTTAATTTGCTATATTTTACTTATTCAAGGCTACAGGACAAAGAAAATGCCAATTTTCAAAAGTCTCCAAAAAGTGGAGACTGTTCAAAAACCCTAGATTTCTTTAAAATCTTAAAAATTAATTTTTATTTAACTCATGATATTTTATTTCATTAAATTTTGAGCCAACTTTTGGTTTTTCATTTAAAAATATCAAAATTCTGAAGTTTGGAAATCTCTCCACAAGTGTAGACTTGTTAAATTCGAGTTATTTTAATTTCTATAATTATATTTATGTTATTTAAGGTTGCAGGACAAAGAAAATTCCAATTTTCTAAAGTCTCCAAAAAGTGGAGACTTTTCAAAAAACCCTAAAAATGGGATTTTCAAACAAATATGATTGTTTAAATTGGCTTTTAGAGTTCGAACTGCTTTGTTTAGTCTAATTATGGGCTAATATGTCATATTTCTTTCGTAAAATGTGGAAATGATGAGATATGGAAATCTATCCACTAGTGTAGACTTGTTAAACTCATGTTATTTCAATGTATTTTATTACATTTCAGTTGTTCAAAGTTGCAGGACACAGAAAATGCCAATTTCCAAAGATCTTCAAAAAGTGGAGTCTTTTCAAAATTTCAAATTTTTTGAGGTTTTTTAATATTTAATTTTTTTTTGAGCTCAAATTACTTTATTTCATCTAATTTTATTTTAATCCATCATTTTTCATTTGAAAAATCTCAAAATGCTGAAGTTTAGAATCTCTCCACTAGTGTAGAGTTGTCGAATTCGAGCTATTTCAATTGGTATTATTATATTATTGTTATTCAAGGTTCCAGGACCAAGAAAATGTCAATTTTCAAAAGTCTCCAAAAAGTGGAGACTTTTCAAAAAAACCTAGAAATGGGATTTTCAAGCAAAATATGATGGTTTAAAAGGGTTTTTATAATAAAAATAATTTTATTTATATGACTTGCTTTAATATCTTCGAAAAATAAATAAAAAAGGTGAGTTACTTACCGCAACACATTCACATTTAATGCAGTACATAACACCAAATGGTGGTCCCAAATCGGCATACCATGTTGAACCCAATTCACGTAGGGTCTTGCCAAATTGACATTCGGATACTGTAAAGAGAGAAAAAAATAATAATTAGAAATTGAAAAAAAAAAATTAATGGATTTTTCATTTATTCTACTCTCAGGGGCGGTTTCCTGGGGTTTCTTTAAATCATGATCATTAAGAGAATAATACATATGTATATCCCGCTGGTGCTGGACTTCTTCTTTGAAGTTACGAAATAAAAAAAAAACGGAGAAACAATAAAATTTAAATGTTTTCTTTTTGGGTGTTTTGTTTTAAAGGAATTTGGTTTTCGTTTTTTTTTTATTATAGACAATATTTTACACCTCCAAATAAAATGTGAATGGATGGATGGATGGAATGTTCAGGCGGCAAGCTGACCTGTGAAATGTCGGTGTGTGAGTTCATTAATAAATTGAGAAGGAAAAAAAACAAAACACCTCTGCTCTGCTACCAGGGAGTAACAAAACGAAGGTGTTTTGTTTTGTTTTTTTTTGTTCTTCTCAATTTATTAATGAAGTTCATTGAAGAAGAAGAAACAAAAAAAAACAATTTCCATATTGTATTTCGGTTTCTTTGAGACCGCCCATGTGTTTTATATAATTTGAATGCATCTCCCTGAGTTTTTATGTTTTTTTCTCTACATATATGTGTATGCATATTTATATGCATGCGGTGTTAATTAAACTATTAAAATGGAAATCCCCCCTTTCCATCCCTTTCATGGGTTTCCACAGAACAAGCTGAATAGAAATAAACGTTTATTTAATGCGGTTTGTTGTTGTGGCCTGATTGTATTAGACCTTAAGACGTCGGGAAATTGCATGGGTGTGTGGTGTTATTGTTGTTGTTGTTATTGCTTGCAATTGTTGTTTTTTTTTTTTTTGTTGCTTTTTTTTTCAAATATATTATTTTCATTCTCAGTTTACCGAAACCTTATAAATGCCCTTTGGAGAATCTATAACAACAGGTAGATAGCTATTTATTTTTAAAAAGCTACAAAAAAATTCTTGGCTACTCAGACTTAAGTTTGAAAATTATTTTAGATTTTTGTTGTCGTTCTTATACAGAAAAAAATATTTTTTTTTTATAAAAAAAAAAAAAAAAAAAAAATGGAAAGAAGCCAATGACCATTTTTTTTGGATCTACATTCATTTAATGGATATATAAGGCGCCAAATGAAAACTTGATCGGCATGCCTTTACAAAGAAAAAAAACACGGAGCCAGTTAAATGCGAGACAAAAAACTGAACTGGTCAAAAACGCACAACACGCCAGTCTGGCGTATAAAATTGCATAGCCTGGCAATTTTTTGCGCTTTTTTCCAAAAGGCCTGGTTTTCATGAATGAAAAAGGCCAGAACAAAAATATCAAGTTTTTTTCCTCTGGCAGGGGTTGTTAAACAGAAAAAAATATATATATGGAGAAACATGATTTAAAGGAAACCCAAAAAGATTAAAATTGCAAACAAAAAAAAAAAAAAAAAAAAACCAAACATAGGGTAAGTGTGCCTAAGTTCGGCATGTCCCAGTAGTCGGCACTTTTTATTTTTAAGCCCAAATAAATGAAACGTTTACAACTAAATGTATTTTTTTTACTTCAAATATATTGCCAGCTATCTTTGTGTACAATTTCGCTATGAAAAGATGATTTATTGTAATAAAAATTTAATTTTTGTTTGTGAAGGTCCTCAACAATCCATATTCTTAAGAAAAATACAATAAAGACGTCGAATCAGTTTAACGAAACAAAAATATTATATTTAAATGAATTAATTTATTATTATTATTATTAATTATTCTTACAAAAAATGGTATGCCGACTGTTAGATCATGCCATACCGACAATTGGCAAGTGGTGCCGACTACTGGCAAAAAGGCATTGTTTTAATAAAACTACAAATTTATGAAATTTAATAAAAAGTTATTCAAAATTTATTTATTTTTGCAAAAACTATACAAAATTTCGAATCTGAATAAATAAACTTTGTAATAATTGAAAAGTTCCACTCAGAATGGTGAGCGATTAAAAACGCGAAAATCCTAAAAGTGCCGACTACTGGTACACTTACCCTACAAAAAAAAAAAAAAATAAAATAAAATAAAATAATACAAAAATGGGGGGAAAGGAGAGATGAATGATTTAAAAAAATAAATGGAGGATCCAGGAAGCTTTTTAAAGCAGAGGAATGAGACCGAGAGATCAAATTCAATTTTAGTTTCTAGTTTATCAAATGAATAAAAATAATTCCTTAAATTTAATCCCAAAAGATTGAGACCCAAAAAAGAGGAAAGGATAGATAAGAATATTGAAAAATCTTAAAAATAAAGTTAATTAATTAAATTAAAATGTTTTTCATTTTGTTTTCCATTTCAGATATGGACCCATGTTTATTATCCTGAGTCTCTTAATTCTCCTGTTGGAACGAATTAAGTTTTTTTATCGGTAATCCTGTTTCAATGTCTGAAGAATTTAGGTAAAAAATGGCTATTAATTGCAATCCTGCTTCAGAAGCAAAATCAGTTTTTTTTTCTCCAAATTTTGAAATCTAACCTGTAATCCTGTTTCAAAATCAGACCCCGATTTTTAATTCTAAATTCGAAAACCTCCCGTAATTTGCCACTCTTTACACCCACAATTGCCAGCCAACCAATCGCCTTAGTCCATTTTAGAAAAAAAAATTATAAATAAATAATTTTCCAATAAAAATATATATTCTATGCATATATAAATATATATACATGTATGTAAATTTCCCCATTCATAGCTGCGGTATGACATTTTTGAATAAAACCCTATAATTTATGGGAAATTTATGTTTGTACAGCTACTTGCAAGTACTACTACCACTACTATTGAATCTCTCAACAACGTAATTTATTCGTTATTGTTGTTGTTGTAAACAATTTTTTTTGCAATTGCGTTGCAATTGTTGATGATGATGATGCTGATGGTATTTCAAATATTTGTGTTTTTCGCAAAAAAAAAAAATAAATTTACATTGGGCGCCACTTAGGTGTAAAAGTGAAATATTCAATGAATTTTGAGAAAAAATAGGATTTTTTTGGTGGTTAGAGGGGGTGAGGTGGGTGGAATTGGGATAGATGGAATTGTAGATGACAGGGGAATTTCAAAATTTTGTGTTTTGCAAAAATTCGCCAAAAAAGAGAGAAATTTACATTGGGCGCCACTTTTGTAGGAAAATAAACTATTCAATGAAATTAGAGAAAATATAAGAGAGAAAAAATTGATTTTCTTGGTTGAGCAGAGGGATGGAATTGTAGAGGATAATAATATTTGTGTTTTGAAAAATTCGTAAAAAAATCTAAAATTTACATTGGGCGCCACTTAGGTATGAAAATAAACTATTCCATGAATTTAGAGAAAAAGTGAATTTTCTTGGTTTGAGCAGAGGGTGTAAGAGGATGGAATTGCAAATATAATTGTATTTCACAATTTTTTTTGTTTTAAAAAAATTTGAAAAGAAAAGAAATTTACGTTGGGCGCCACTTAAGTCTAAAAATAAAATATTCAATAAATTTTTAGAAAAAAAAACAGATTTTTTGTCGGTATAAGAGGGGTAGTAGAGGGAGGTATGATAAGAAATTATTGTCATGCCAATAATAAAAAAATTGGGGGGATTTGTATTCCTTCAGAATTTTGAGATAAAGATTTGGACATTTTTTGTAGATAATTTTGGAGGAGTAGAGTTCAATGTGAAAGTGTTAACAAATCTTGGGGGGATCTTTGCAAATAAATCTGGGATTATTTTACCCTAGACTAACTGCTGATAAGACTCCATTATTTTGGATGCCCTTGAAATTAAGCTTCGAGACATTCGAAAAATCTCCTCTGGGATCTTTTAGCGAAATTATTTTTTTTTTAATTAAAAAGGAAATCTAGGCTTAAATCTAAGCCTTCATTTCTTCCACATTTATTTTTTCCCAATTTTTTTTTATTTTAATTACTTTTTTTATTAAAAGCAAAAAATAATCTATTTTGGCTTCTGTTTTCCTTAAAAACGCCTCCACAAAATTGCTGACTTCTTTTCATTTTTATTTTTTTGTTGTGTCTGGCTGAAACTCTTAAATGCTGTTTTAGATTTTTCTGTTTTGGTGAGGGAAGAAAGCGTTCGAGCGGGTGGAAGAAACGAAACAATGTTATTGTTTTTAAGACGAGGCATTATGGAGTGGCGGCGCGTTTTTTTCGTGTTTTTTGGCCAGGCCTGTTTGGCTGGCGTTCCAATATTGAGGTCGCCAAAGCGTCAGGCTGCCAGCCCCGATTTTTTTATTGTGTGTAATTTGAATTTGTGTGTGTGTGGCACATATAGTGCATTGTTTTTTTTTTTTTTGCTTTTGAGCTCAACACCTTCAAAAAAATACATTTTGCAAAAATTGTTGTGTTGTGTTGGATTCCAAAACTGCAGTTTGATGTGTGTGTTTTGTTTGCTTACTGTTTAATAAATATTTATGTTTATTATTCCAACTTATATTTATTATTGTTGTCAATGCATGAAATCAATAAGCTACTGGCATTACGTTAAGATTATTTGTTTAAGTTGATTTTTTTTTTTTGGTGTGAGGGAATCGTAAATTATTTGTTTTTTGGTTTTTTGCTATGCCAAAAGAAAGAAAAAAATAAACAAAACATTTTTGAGGGGAATGAGGTGATGTTATTTTCTGATTTAAAGAAAAAATAATAATTGTGACACTATTTGATTAGGAATGTTTTGAAAAGAATTTGAAAAGAAATTTAAAATATTAAAAAAAAATATATATAAAAAAAATTAAAATTTGAAATAAGAAATATACTCTAAGGAACTAATTCAGAGAATCCCCTACTCTCTCTCTCTCTCTCTCTCTCTATTTTCTCTTTTTGGTACAAAAATTTCAAATAAAATATTTTGAAATAAGGCTGGTTATGTAATCTTCATATAGAAATTTTTTTTAGGAAAAATATTCCTTAATTTCATGTACTATGGTTAGATATTTTAGGAACTTAATTCATTAATTTAATAATTTTTTTCTTTTAGGAACTAATTCAT